TTTAAAACCAAAAAATAACAGTTTAACAAAATATTAAAAACGAATAAAATTTCATATATTGACACTGTTAATTTTCAATAAAACTACAATTTTACGAGTCGTTCTATTATTAGAAATTAGTTTTTCTATGGATATTTTAAGTTTTTTTTAATACTTTACAAGAATAATTCAAAACTCGTATTCAACATTTAAATTTTTTATTTTTATTTTAAGACAAGTGTCGCTTTACACCAGTAAATTTTCCAAATGAAATTTGTTTTTCACTACTTTAATCATTGTTGATTTATGTCATTAAATTATTTTAAACTGTTATTTTTAACTTCATAAAATAGGAATATAGCGCCTGAAACTGTTGTAACTGGGGAGTACTTTAATCGATCTTTTCAACCGATATAAATTATGTTTTTTTATAATATATTAATAGGAATTAAAACTCTCATTTAATAGCAATAAAACTGTTATTTCGAAGATATAATAAAAATTATTTTATAGCAGACCTTGCTACCTGGGTGGTTCCCTGGCCCGCGGCGGCGGCGTTGCGGTTGCTATAATTTTCCTTCGCACCTCGCCTACTGAGGGTCCTGAACAGGGGATTGTTGATACCGCTCAAATCTTGGTTGAAATTGTTAAGGTGCTTAACAGTGGCGAGGCGTGAATGATCGATTATCGATATTTCTCCATTTGAAGCTATGGTAAAGAATCGATTATTAAGGTGTTCGCTGCGAACACCCTGATTAATCGATCTGTTTTCATAGGTTTGAGTGGCGTATCAATCGATGTATCGCAAAGCACGCCACGCCACTCGTGCTTAAGGATAAAGATATTTTCCCAAGTTTTTAGATCTTGCTTTTTATTAATTTCTTTAAGGAGCGAAAGATTCGTGTTTACTTCATGGTTTTCTTTCCATGCATGTGCTGTCACCGCCGACCTGTCAATCTCCTTTTCCTTGATGCAATTTACATGTTCTTTGCCCCTAACTATCAGCGATCTAATCGTTTGATCGATATAGAGCTTGTCGCATTTTTTACAGTCTATTTTATAAATGCCAGGTTTTTCACAGTCGTCTGTGTCCAAACTGTCTATCCTGTTCAGGACCCTCAGTAGGCGAGGTGCGAAGGAAAATTATAGCGACCGTCGCGCCGCGGGCCAGAGAACCAGTCGCGCTGAGGATGCCGAGGTTGCGAGCCGGCGAAACGCGTCCGCAATTTAATATTTTTACGTGCAAGTGAGTATTAAACTTTTATTTATCATTATTTTGACTCCCTTTATAATCCTGATCATATTTTTCCATGGTGAATCACTATTTATGAAAATGTTTTCCTCCTTGTTGTAAAGTGGCACTATCGTCGATTTCTTCAATTTATTATTCTAAGGACACTTTATTACTTTGATTTACTTTGATATACTTCATCTCCTTTCACAATTTGGAAAATCACTTGCAGCGCCTGATTGTTGAAATTTTTTGCTTGTCGGGACGATATAGATGACATATGTTAAAAGGCGGAGCGTGATTGGTCGGCTATCCCCAGTAAAAATTGGCGATAAGAGCTGCGTTTCAAAATACCATAGGAATTCTTATAGCCGGCTAAAGAAGGCTACAGAAAATCATATAGCTGGCTGTAGAATGCGGAGAAAATCATACGGCCGGGCTATACGAAGCGATAAAAAATTATGCAGCCGGGCTATAGTTCCTATCGCCGGGCTTTACACTTATCGCCTAGTTGTTGCTTATATAAGGCTATGAGAAATTGTGTAGAAATTCGTGAGCTTTGGAAATCATTAAGTTAGATACGGAATCACCTTAATATTTACAAAACACACGTTATATTTTCCTTTAATACATATTTTTTTTCATCAATTAAAACGAGAATAATCCATACAGGATGTGCAAACATTTCTAAATCTTGAGTTGAATAACGCTGATTCCGCAGGACTAAATATTAGATCCTAACACAAAGCGGAGCGGCGACGCACCAGCGCCTACAAACCTAACAGGGATACTTCACGCATTGCGCAACGCGTGAAGTATCCCTGTTAGGTTTGTATAGGCGCCAATGCGCGTTTCGCGCTGGCTGCCCGCGTGCCGCACCGCAGCGTGCCACGGCGCTTGAAGCAACTATTTCACACCAGAGGTATTGCACAGTATCATACGAAACTGAAGGCGCTCTAATATATTAAGAATGGCAGGCACCCATCAAAAGTATGGAGCTTTCCTCGCAAAATAAAGTAAGATACTACGGCCTAAAAACAGAGCAGTGGTCCAAAAACTCACCAAGTCATCCGTAAGTAGTGACGTTTAGCATACACTTTATCGCCTGGCTGTAAGTTGCTTAATCGCCATCGGCTATAAAAGGCTATAAGAAATTGTGTAGCCGGCTATAGAAGCTATTGGAAATCTTACAGCCGGCCCTAGGTCTATGGTATTTTGGCACACAGATTTTACCGCCAATTTTTCCCAGGGTTGTCTCATCGCTGGTTTGTCGTGCCTATGTCGGGTTGAATTCACGACAAGCTAACGGTACCGCTTAAGTTTCCGACAGTATGTCGTCCATTCCACCTGACAAAGGCACGACACGGCAGCGATAAGACATAGCCGACCAATCACTCTTCGCCTTTTAACCTATGTCATCTATGTCGTCCCGACAAACAAAAAATTTAAACAATCAGGTTGCAGGGCGTGCATCGCCCCGGAGGGTTTGAGCCGCGTAGCGGCCAGGGAGCGTACCCCTTAGTATTTGCTAAATTTTACCAATCAAGCCACTATCTTCCTTACATTTGCTCCCAAAACTTTACGACTGACCGAGTGACCGCAAGCGCCGTTTTTATCGCTCTTTTTCTAGCTGTTTTCACTCAAGCTCACCTACTCTTTGCCTCGTCTCCGTAGAGGAGCAGATTGCGTGAGCGTGAGCCATTGCCGCCCTCAGAGGTAGCGGCAAATGGCAAAAAGATCGATATTGGGCCTGGAGAACTCAACCAATGTTTTCTGGGATAGGAGAGCGAATAAATTATTACAACGTCGCGGTCGTCGTCACCGAACGAGCGAAAACAAATTGAGGGGTGTGATGGCAGTGATGGCACGCATTCCGTCGCTCCCCGGACGTAAAGGCGTATCTCTTTTCCAACATGAGCCGCGGAGAGGATAGAGTTATATGGAGAGCAGGGTTCACGTGGAAACCGAGGTACGTTCTTACGACTTTGAACGACGGAGCGACGATTTGACGTCACTTACCGCGAACAAAACACGGAGTGAGGCACTGGCACACCAACATCTTGTTCCTCGTGAGATTGCGCAGGTGGAGGATTTCAATGCGCAAAGATTTCCACGCATCCAAAACGTGCCTCTTTTTAAAATGTGTAACATTCGTCAGCGCGTGTATTAACGGCCGGAGTCGCTGCCGTGCATGTTTGTTTTGGAGCTGTTTCTCCGTCACTATGGTAAATTGGACCCCGTGAGTGGGTAACGGAGGGTTAACGCACAGTCGGTGAAATACTCGGAGTTTGATGATGATTCAGCCGTAGGCAAGGTCTGAGTAGAGCCGCACACTTGTTGGAGCAATAATTATCGTTTTGGATGACAATTGAGAAGCTTGGAGTACAGTGTAGTTTTTGCTATTTTGAGAGATACCTGCTTGAAATTTCGAAATTACACACTGGAAAAAAAACCACATTGGATCTAAAAAACATTGACAAGAAAAAGGACTCTAGATTCAATCAGATTTAAGCTTAAATCAAAAGGAAATCCGCTCAAATGAAGAGGCTTGGTTCTTGATTTAAGCTTAAATCTGATTGAATCAAGAGTATTTTTTCTTGTCGATGTTTTTAAGAGTCTGGACTCTAGATCCAATGTGTTTTTTTTTCCAGTGCATGGATCTTTATGGCGAAAAGAAAGTTCAAATTGACTTTTTGATGCTCATAAATTGGAATTAGGGAGTAAAAGTTTTACAGAATATGCTTTAAGACTAGTTTTACTTGAAGTTATTAATATCTCAACTTTTTCAAAAAGTGCACTTATGCGCTTCGTCCTCCGAGCCCTTCGATTCTAAAAGATGAGCAACAAGTGAAAAGAACTGCATCTAAAAGCCAAATCTCGCCATAGGTGCGAAATAATACTACTTATCGTATTTTTAAAAACACGATATCACGTTATATAGGTATACCATGTTTATCTTTTACAATGATGATGATGATGATGATGATGTTTAAAAATAATTTCGTTGATGTTAGATGCAGACATCTGTAATTTGCACAGAACACTCAACTGTCGAAACGCACCATACTTTAATCGCGGGATTGGCCCATTTTGGTTGAAATTCACTGAAAATAAAAATTGACCCAAGTATCAGAATATTTCAGATAAAAACTCGCTAGCACCATAGTTTAGTTTACAATTTTGCACATAGATCCAGCAGTATCGCAAAATATGAAAATTGTTCGTCAAAATGACTACAGTTTTGAGAACTGGCTCCAGATCAAACTCGAAATACCTAATTTTAAAATTGAAACTCCATCAGTTCCTACCGAGAAACCGGCTTAATAGGGGAAAAAATATGATTGCAAGTATTTGGCAAGTTCGCAATTCACCGAAATCTTCATGGGCACAAACACCTGATTTACCAATAATACACATGCTAAGGAACGTGACCATATTTAATTTATTTTGTCGGTCGACCATTTAGGAATGAGTTACAAGGCCAAAAGAAGTCATTATGAAGAGCAAGCATACACTAACAAATTTGAAAAGCATCCCGCTTTCATGTATAGAAAGTTCATTTTATCTCCTGCGGACTTTAGAATTACAAAATACCTGATTGATATCTGAAAAAGGTACATTAATTCTATTATGACAAGTATAGATGTTTCACTTAATGTCTAATTTTCTTTTTTTTTTTAATTATGTTCCTTTTATTTACATTTGTCTTGAAAGAAAAGTTCTAGAAGATAAAGGGAAAATGGAACGATCCTACTGATCATACAGCAATATATCGATTGATCTGCCATTTAAACCTATGGAAAAGGATCGATAAACAGGGTGTTCGTAACGAACACCTTAATAATCGATTTTTTACCACAGCTTCAAATGTGGAATTATCGATAATCGATTACTAACGCCAATCACCGCGCCTTTACCGATAGGATCGCTCCCATTTGTCTACTTTACCCACCGTTTTTGTCTACCTATCGATTTCAATAAGCAGCCCTTGACTTCTCTAAACTTTGCGGACTTGCAAAAACTATTTCCTTCTCACGACTCAAACTTAAAAGTGTACTCTGAGTTTCGTAAAAGATCTACATTTTTACAGATTTTTCTTTCATTTTTCCCCCTTCCTTTTTATTAGCTATGAAGTGTATAGAAAAATAACGAGACTCAGTTTTATACATGTTGCTGAGTCTCTTGATAGCGTAAGAGGCAATAAATTAAATTTGGTAAGCTTGACGGATCATCAAATCGAAGTAAGCATCGTTCTCAATGGAAGCACTCAGACCGGCATAGTAGTTCAAAAATTCTTCTTCCGTCACCTAAAAAAAATACAAATAAAAAGATATTTTAGCAGCGCGCTCTACGAACCAAATCCCCCTACAAAACGACGGTTTTGTCTCACCTCCCTCACACTGCCATCAGAATGTCTAAGATCTTCAGGGAGGAACATAACCGACATCACGAGAATGTCAGATTGGAACAAGAAAGCATGCAAGTCAAATAATGGACTCAATTCAGTAATTGGACGTATTTCTGCCAAACGGAATTATGTGCATTATGACGTGAGTCCTTTTATGCATGTATTCTTATGGGTCTCAGGGCTCATGTCTTAATGCACGTAGTTCCGTTTGGTAGAAATACGTCCAAATAACCCTGGATACTTTTACATACACGTCATATATGAGCAAGAGGTGAGAGCCGGAGCTAGGTACTTAATTGCATTACATCGTTTCAAAGTTTCGCTTTACAACTTATTTCTTTATTCATTATTGGATTCATGATTTACATTTCAGAGATAATTCGACAAAGCACTTATAGGTATCAGTAATTCACAACAAATATAAAATGAAATATTTAATTCCTACCTCATTATGAGGATAAATTGTTTAATAAAACTTCGCGATGCAATTGAGAAAGGGTATTTCTTGGTTGCGGTATCTTAGAATCTCCACTACTAATATATATTTTAGAGAGAAAAAAATTGGGTGAAATTCTGAAATTTTTCACTTTTTCAGCATTGTAAAATCATAGAGAAAATTCAATGAAAAATTCCACGAATTCCATGATTTTGTTTCAATTATAAATGGATGAAACTTTTGCAAAAATTCTGAGACACCGCAATCAAGAAATATACCCTTTTTGCACCCAACGCTTCAATTACGCCCTTCTGACTTTCACTCCTCCATATTATTGTAAAAATTGCAAAGCTACCACAACCACAATTTTTTTTTTTTTTTCCAAATACCGGAACCACAATTGCAAAATCCATGGAAAAATTCTTTGAGAGGTAAGACGACGAAAAAAAATCGTGCATTCTCTTCGCCGTGAAAGAAAAAATAATCGAAGCTCACCATGCCGTCCTTCCTTCCTTTTTCAAAATTGTGAAGAAAAGTGTTGAGTATTTGTTCTTCTGACTGTTCTCCACTGAGATATCGTGGATGCGCTTTCACTGAATAGACAGATCTAATATCGTCGACGGTGATTTTCCCGTCTCCGCTTCGATCCATTTTACTGAAAGCTTCCCTCACCACACGTTGCCTTTGTGCCGACATCGGTGGCTGCAACAACAAATCAAGATATTTAAGAAATGTTTAAAGAGACTCGACTCTTTTAACGACCTGAGACATGCAGGGATTTACCTTAAAAGTTAAACCCGCACCGGAAAAAAACACATTGGATATATAGTCCAGACTCTTGAAAAAATTGACAGCAAAAAATACTCTTTATAACGGAATATTGGAGGTACGGCGGTCCTAGAAAAGACGGGCTAGTTTCGCGCAGCAAAATCGGTCAAACCGCGAAGTTTTCATGGCACAGCTTGTCACATCCGGCAGTGACATTACTCGGTGACATCACCAGACACAGCCTTGTCAGATAGCCCGAGGAATCCCTCAATTGCGTATACCCCAATCTCGACCGCCGAGCCCCGGAATCCACGGAACGGTGACAGCCGGAGTCCTGGCGGATGTGACATATGTGTAGTCAGGGGTTTTTAGCGAGCCAACCGTGGGAATCAGCGGCCTCAGGGGACCCATCGGCTGGCCTGCTGGAGCTCCCTGAAGTTAGTCGTTTCGCCTCCTTTGCCAGCGTCTCCTCGCGGATTCCCGACTTCGCGTCTCTACCCCTAGTCAAGTCCGCGAGTAACCCCCGGACGAAAGTTTGGTCCAACTGGTCCGTCCCCGACCTCTCTTTCGCCCCAGCGGTCTTTCACCCTCTTCCCGAGTCTTTGGCTCCTCAGATCGCTCCGTCCCGCGTCTCACCCCGGAGATTGAGCTTTTGAGTACTCCTCCCCTCGCCGAAGGTCCCGTCCTACGGTCCGTCCCCGACAGCTCTTCCTGCGTGGGAAAACCTTCCCTCCCCCCTCCCCTTGTAGTAGTGTGTTTCTGTGTGGTTCTGTGTGTACGGTCTGTGTGTATACCGTAGTAAGTTGCCACTTGTGTGGTTTATTTGTAGTGGTATTGTATTTGTTACATCGTTCAAATACATAGAGCAGCCACCCCCTAGTTTATGTGCTCCTCCTTTCCTTAGGATACTAAGATACATTCTCGAGGTAGGTGACCATTTATTCAGAGTGATAGGGCTCTTACGCCCCCCTAGACCATCCCCCCTTTTCTAGGTTTCCCTATCTGGTGAAACATCGCCCCCATCTGCGATCCACTACGTGCCAGCTGCTTGGCTCGAGCGCTGAGCGCGTTATACTCTTGATTCAATCGGATTTTTGCTTGAATCAAAACGAATTCCGCTTAAATTAAGAGGCTTGGTTCTTGATTTAAGCTAGATTCTTATTGAATCAAGAGTACTTTTTCTTGTCGATATTTTTAAGAGTCTGGACTTTACATCCAATGTGTTTTTTTTCCAGTGCGACGAAAAATCGAGGAAAAACTATTTGAAGAAGTATGCGTTAGCACAGGTGGCGTTCTATATTGCTGGCAGGATAATATCTCAAGACTGTAGCATTTGTATGTAGTTCTGATTTTTACTCCTGAATTTCCTGATTTTCCCTCATTTTCCCTGATTTCCTGACATATCCTGATGTTTCCTGATTTCTTGATCTCCTAATTTTCCCTGTACTGTAAGTAGTAAATTTTCAAGGTAGTTTATAAAATCAAAATTCAATATTCTACGTTCAAATTACTTTAAAAACCATAGTGCTCAATGCCTAAGAGTACATTACAGTAAACGCTAGAGCAAGAACAAGATGCACACAATTAGAGGCTAAACTTTTTCTAATACAAAAATAAAATGACTTCTCTTACCTATCCTAATTTTTTATCCAGGAGTTTTTATTAAGCTCCTGCAATTTTACTAAAGAATGAGAAAAAAACTCACCCTAACAGCTAACAAGAATTCGGTCACACTAATCGTGCCAGACTGGTCCTGGTCGAATCTGTTGAAAATTTCGTTGACTTGATCTTCCGACAAACCTGCATCTGTTATTTGTATACCCTCGTGAAATTCTTCTCTTGACAGCATTTTATTTCCATCCTCATCCAAGCGGCGAAAAATTCTGCAAATACAACCGAAAAAAATAAGAGAATATTTAAGAACTCGAGAACTGGGCAGCCAGCTAGCGAACTGACCGGTCTGAAGTCGGAAAACTGCGCCAACGACCGATCGTAAATTTAATCTGCACCTTACACGCTAACCGACAAATGCCTTCCACTGACCGATTTCTGGCGAATATTTTTCGGTATTTTTGACGAAACTTAAAAGTTCCAAAATGAAAACCAATATAATTCATGAAAAATTAAAGGTTACGTGAATCAAATTAACAATTGATTACATTCAATTTATTTTAGGAGTTTTTGATAAAAAAATTACGAGCTTTCTTGCAAACCCGGTGTTTGAGTGAGCAAAACCGATTACCTAACAGAGATTCGTTTTATCGAGGGAGAGACGAATGAAAACTTAGAGAAAAGTGATGATTCTCAGCGAGAATAGCCATCAAATTTTTCTCAAAAATTATTTGAAAAGTTAGAAATCAGAAAATCCATGAAAGGCTGCAATTCGTTGACCAATCAGAGAGCGGATAAAAAGATTGAGATGCAATACCTAGCTCCGCTACAAAAGCATTCTGTTTTAAGGTGGCTACAATTAACGAAAACTCCCATGCATTTCCGAAGAGGTGAGGAAAGTGAAAGTGCCTTCAATTTTGAACATGCAACACGCACATCCGTGGAACACGTTTAGTTGTATCAAGGCGCCACAACCAACTGACGATCAGTGTGGTATTCGTGGGTCGAGATAATCACCGATTGGAATTGGTTTTTTTTTTAAAAAAAAAAATTCTTGAGCTCCAGAGATTGTAATACAAGGAAAAATGTAAAACACGTTTTAATCGATCAATTCTAAATTTCAGAACTCTAAAATATTAAAGCGATTAATCATTTAATCCCAAGATGGGACAGCCTGTATTTTGAAGAAAGGATTAGTTTTAATCGATAATAATGTAAGAAAGTACCTCGGTGATTTTATTTTACCAAAATCATAACAATGATATATAGGATTTTTTCGTCTCCGTAAAATAAAAAACTATGTGTAATCTCTGGCATTGTTTTTGAGGAGCCACGATGCAGAAAGCAGCTTTCAATTACTTTTGCCATGAATGAACATGCTATTTCCTCAGATGAAGAAGCAGAATGTTTGGAAAATCCGGACGAAGGTCAAAGGAGTGGAAAAATAGGTTGAGGGACAAGAGGGGATGATTCTTTCTCCAGATGACTGGCGCCAGACAACCAATTTCGTCTCGCCGAATAGCTTTGCAAAATTTTATGCGCAAGACACACTGACACACATTCCGTTTCTCACTGACTTCCCAGCGTTTGATATGCTAGCACAGCACGAGGCTTAAATTTTAAAATAAAGTTTTCAAGACTCTAAGGACTTAAAAGCATTTCATTCTGTTTTAACAATATCGCTAACATGGAAATTATTGTAACTGTATCTGGCCCGCGTTTAGCAGAAAGGAACCAAGCCACATCAGCTATTGCCAACTCTAACTGAGCGCTTTAATTGTATACAAAAGAACGTTTGGGTTCTTTAGAAAATGTCAAGGAATATGCTTCGTACTATGCAGAAAATGCATTGAAATTTGCGCAAAAATCCGCACAACCGTTTAGGATGTAAAAAATTAAATTGCCCAATTAAATTTGGCAATAGCTGATGTAGCTTGGTTCCTTTCTGCTTAGCGTGGTCCATTTGTAATAGAGTCAGGAGACGTTTGTTTTAAGGCGTGGAAGGAAGGGGAGATGAACAAACTCTAATACGGGCTAGAGGGGCTATTTCTGCATCATTTGGCGCAAATATTACCGAAAAATCTCAAAAATCGACCCTATGTCAGAAATTCAACTTTAAGGACGAAAAATGGAGCATTTGAGAAAAATGCTCTTTCATAAGTTTGCCGTGACTACCCAATTTGAAAGAACGTTTAAAACATCATTAATTATGCGAATCATAACTTGAAATTTTGAACCAACATTTTTTCGAGTATTTGACAGGGTTCAACATTGGAGACCAAAAATCTATATTTGTAATCCCGAATATAGGTTTTTTTCGCTGAACTCGACAGGAATTTGAGTTTGCACCTTAAAGCACTTTTTATATGATCCCTTTCCTGTACAATGGGCCTGTTGCATGCAAGAGATACAGCCGTGCGAATAGACTTTTCAGAGGTTAAATGACACGAAAATTACGATGGTCACATTAAAAAAGTCTGAAATACACTCCTTACTGCGCAATTTGCGTTGTTAGGAACGCGCTTTTTCAAATTTCCCGCGTCTGGGGGCAGTTTTCTAACGGAAACAATTAACGGCAACTCGCGGCTATTTCCGGTCAACTAAAACTGACAACATAACCTAAAAATCGGAGCTCGTGATATCGTGAAATGAAATGTAGGAGGATTGCGTTGGATATTTAAAAGTTGATCGATTTGGATAGCGCATAAAGCGTATCTGGACCACTATAAGAGATCACGTTGGGTTTGTGAACAAACTGAAGGAAAAAATAACAACAACAACAACAACAACGACTCGGCATCTTCCGGAAATCACCGAGTCCGCCGTTTGCTCGTTTCCGGCACAGATTAGTCCAGATCGCTAACATCCAATCTAGCCAATGCTTCAGAAGCGTGAGTAATTTTGCTACAGGTTAGGCAACTTTAGAAAATTGATGGCACTACCGGTAGTGAAAGAACTTGACCGGATCGAGAGAAATTTCCTATTGAATCTGATTATAAAGCTTGAAAAAAGTATAAATAGTAATGTGTAATAATGGTTTTTGATCAAATAAGATTTTATCAAGTACTGTTATGCTAAGTATTCTGTTTCAATATTCTTACAACAGTTGGTAGCAATTAACTGCTCTCATGGGGGCCTGGCGGGAATTCAAAACTAGGAACCAAAAGTCTCATTTTGGCAGGATTTTGCTTTAATTTTCGGTTTCTAAGGCTTTAAACTTCAAAAATATGATATATTATAATCTGCAAATTTTTTCAATAATGTTATCTACTCAGTATACTGATGAACTCTGATTTGTTTATTTCCACCGATAAAGCACAAAAACATAGCCCAATTATACGAATAAAGAAGGAGAATTAATTAAAATACGGGTAAACAAGGCTAAAAATTATTGAAACACTTAAAGGCAGGACGTTTCGAGCTGCTACCAGCTCATTTTCAGCTGCAAAAACACATAAAAACAAGTAAAAAATTGAGTGGCGACCTGACCCCAGCCGTTATTATGAGTGGTTACGTGGTAACGGCTGAGGTCAGGTCGCCACTCAATTTTTTACTTGTTTTTATGTGTTTTTGCAGCTGAAAATGAGCTGGAAGCAGCTCGAAACGTCTTACCTTTTAGTGTTTCAATAATTTTTAGCCTTGTTTACTCGTATTTTAATTAATTCTCCTTCTTTATTTATTTCCACCTTAATTATTTAATCTGGAAATATTGAACCACATAAATTCTACTGAGAAACTAATTCTTGAATTCTTCGGAACGTTTCATCCCACAAAAATCTGAAAAAGAAGTATTCTCCCGCCGAAAATCTGCTGAAAATAGCCAAAATTTCAGTTTTGGTTCCTAGTTTTAAATGCCCATGGATTTTCCCGCCAATGGCGCTCACAAAGCTACTCACGCTCTTCCGCCGATGTTAGCGATCTGGACTAATCTGTGGTTTCCGGTGATTAGAAAATTGCCCCCAGACGCGGGAAATTTGAAAAAGCGTGCTCCTAACAGCGCAAATTGCGCAGTAAGGAGTGTATTTCAGACTTTTTAATGTGACCATCGTAATTTCCCTGTCATTTAACCTTTAAAAAGTCTATTCACGCGGCTGTATCTCTTACATGCAACAGGCCCATTGCAGGAGAGCTTTGGATTCTCTCAGGACAAGGGGGGGGGTGTCAAACAGTCAGTTCTCCTGGACAAATGGATTTCATTTTGCAAAAAGGAACCACTAGCATTGCAATGATGCTAAGATTGTGCAACTTCATCCTTTGCAATAAAATTGCGGTAATTGTGGAAAACTATGAAATTTAGATGGTAATTTTTGTCTTAAATTTACAGTTTTTAGCGAGTAAAATAGAAACTATCAAGGGGTTTTTCCTCCAAGACGAAAGAAGTTGCATAATCTTAGCAACATTGCAATGCAAATGGTTCCTTTTTGCAAAATGCAATCCAGTTCTGGAAAAGTATCCCATCCGAGATATATTTTAAGGTTATTTTTACGCCAAAGTTGATCGTATGCAAACTTAAGGCTCAACTCTACCAAAAATCTTTGTAAAACACCTCAAGCAGACTCAAACCTCTTCCTATTCCCCATCGGATCCTGCAATGAAGCGATGAAATGCTCCGGTCCTGAGGATGTTTCCTATATAGTGCAGCTTTCCTAAGAGGACCAGCAGGCTAATTATTGAAATCGCTCGACAAAGAGATAGACAAAGGAGACAAAAAGAATATGGAGGGATCTTATTGGTGGAAGCAGGTGGTTGCAATGAAAAGAGGATTTAAGTAATGGACTAACCAACCAAGGAGAAGGAGAAGGGAGGTCCCTGGACCCATGTGTGTACCTATTTGTGATAGACGGAGTTCCTAGCTCTCCATCATTACCTATTTTTTAGTGCACGGTTAAGGGCAGGGCCGGATTAAGGTGGTGGCCACATGGGCCGCGGCCCATGGCGGCAAATCTATAGGGGGCGGCAAATTTTGAATTTGTTTTAAATGTAGGTATAGAAAATTCGAATTTAGAAAAAAAAATTACAAACGAGAAAAGGCGATAAAATCTCTAATTTTCTGAGAGTACAGTATAATTTCTACTTTTGTCGTACTTCAGTGATACAAGAGACAGCACCTTCAATTCGTCGAGTTAAGAGAGAAACCAAACACACAATTCGGCCTGGAACGGCGCGACTTAGAGAGAAACGATGACGAGGACTTGAGATGAAAAGGAGAATCCCTCGGCGCGGCGATCGGCATGTAACACATATTAGCCCCTACAACAAGACTGCACGAATACTGCACGCATTGCAGTAAACACAGTGTGATCAGCGTGAAACGCATAGCGCCTACAAGACTGCGTGAATACTTCACGCATTGCGTCAAACACAGTGCGTTCAGCAGCGGTCGGCGTGAAACTCATAGCGCCTACAAGACTACGTGAATACTTCTCGCATTGCGCCAAACACGGTTCTGTCTGCGCGGCGCGGCAGCGGACGTTAAAATCATTAATCCACATTTATGTTTAATCCTTCATAATTTTTTCGTTCATATCTTATGAATGGAAGGCCTTGTCCACACAGAGCTAGGTTTACGAAACTTAACTTTCGCGCAAAGTTCCGTAAACTTTTGCTAGTAGTGTTGACAGGGCTTTCCCAAAAAATGTGTTCAACACAAATAAACGCGTCTTATGCACCCCTCCCCCGCTGGCACGTTCATTAAATGGTTTTTATTGATGTTTCAAAACGAATGAGAGGGGGGTGGCAAAATACAGGCGGCCCATGGGCGGCAAGTAGGTAAATCCGGCCCTGGTTAAGGGCACACAACTTAATACAGGCTACCCAAAAATGTAACATGCACGCAGCAAAATGGACTCATTTCACTTTTCACCGGTAAATTTTAAACCCAGTGAACTTTTTAAGTTGATGTCGAAGGAAGAAATCACAACTTGCCTGCCCAAAGCGAGGATACCGTCCGAGCCCCGAGCTAAACATAGGAGGCGCAACTTTTCTAGTGGATCTGGAGTCTGCATTGCTTGACGCCGGGCTTGGCTCTTCAGCTCGGACTCTTGTCTCTGAGCGATCGCCGGCGTTTGGAACATCGTCGTCATCTGGAAGCCATCAAACATGCGATTCATCATCCAACAGACACAATGCTATTTTAATCACTGTCTCGCGCTTCACCGGCTAAAAGACCTTAATGTGATTCGATGGACGCCATATTTTGTGTCAGAACGGCATGCGATATATCGCATCAATTTGTTCCACTTTTTCAGCTACTCGTCATTTTTCTCCAATTTTGAGATCGCAATTCTGTTGTCAAGAGACTAAAGCACTCACTTACCAGTTTTATCAAAGAAATTCAACGTAATAAAGGCGTGGTTTTTTTAGAGAGAAAATATCGCATTCGAGTGCAGTTTCGATATCAGTATCGAATGCTATGTTTTCTCTCTAAAAAAAACCGCGCCTTTATTACATTTAATTTCTTTGTTAAAATTGGTAAGTGAGTGCTTTATTCTCCTGACAACAGAATTGTTATCTAAAAATTCGAGAAAAATTTTTAGTAACTAAAAAAATAGAGCCAATCGATGCGATATATCGCATGCCGTTCTGATACAAAATATAGCGTCCATCAAATCACCTTAAGATTAACATCCGCAGAAAAATTTCTCAAGGAAGTTATATTTGAGGGGCTTGGAAGACAAGGCGCGTAAGTGCAGTTTTTTAAATAATGAAGACATTCATAAACTCAACTAAAACTAGTTTGTAATGCTATGAAAAATTCACAACTAAAATCCGACTTTAAAGCATCAAAAAGTGAGTTCATACCTCTTTTCCGTCATCAGGCCCCATGCAATTTTGAAACTTTAAACTTGAATTTCTTGAAATAGCAGAAACTGCGCTGATGCGCCTTGTCCTCCAAGCCCCTCATTTTGTCGCTCCTCTATCTGACAGAAGGGCGTATCTCAGTTTCCACATGAGCCCCGGAACGCATGGAGCTATACGGAAAATAGGGCTCACGTGGAAATTAGGATACGCCCTTACGTCAGAGGAGCGACGATTTGTGAGTTGAGCCCTCGAAATATATGGTTTTTCAGTGTTCAAAGTATCAGCTTCACTAGTCAACATGGGTAGGTTTGCCGAAAAGTTAATTGTACCTAGTTTTTTCCCAGCACTCGCCAGTTTTTTTTTTTTTTTTTTTTTTTTTTTTTTTTTTTTTTTTTTTTTTTTGGAAAAATCAGATTTACATAGAATAGCCTTTTTACACTCGACAAACCCCCTTACTTTTGAAAACTCAATGCGGTGATCGCAATGAATTGCGATTTGATCGGAAAATGTAAAATTGCGTTGACGTCTATAAAGACGCCAATTTATTGGAATAGTATTACCGGATAAAAAATTGCGATTAATTCCTATGTAATCTCAAAAATTTGCAATAAAATCGTATTTTATCGACGGTGATTTATCGCAATATTATCGAACAAAAAATCGTGATAAATTAAGATGAAATTCCGATTTTATCGAGCGCGATTTAATAGAAATAAAATCACGACTTTTCCGTTGAAAAATGCTACCCGGCTTTTAAACGGCGCTTGGAAAATGGAGGGTACTCAGAGCATTTGCGATGAAAATTAATGAGGACCGGTCCCACTAGACACCTGAAAAAATTTGCCTCTCTTCTTTATTATTTTGTGCGTGAAAGTGAAACGTAGGTACATCTTAAAATTAGACATCGGCTATACGATTTTATTGTTTAGAGCGCGCATTTTTGTTATCTTGAGAATGAGCAATTTCTCAAGACAGAAATAAAACGTAAGAATTGAAAACAAACTTGTGCGCCAAGCTTATATCATGACGAAAGTGGCAAAAAATTTAAAATTTTGAATGGAGGATCAAATAGACTACATTTTGCAATTAGGCGCTATAAACTCTAGCCCAGTTTAAAAACAACGTATCTACCATTAGTTTCCCTATGCACATAAGTGTTTTTTTCTGATGAGCCAGAAATTGTAGTTCCGAATTGCAAAATCCAGTCCGAATTCATGAAAGGAAGAAACGACGCACGACGAGGAATGGATGTTAAAGAAGTCGACTATTCGCTGATCAGTGTACCCTTTGGCCTATGCATTAATTTGAAGGAGTTTGTTTACGAAACTCTATTCAGAAGTTTGGTATAGAGTTGGCACTGAGGTAGTAGGTCAAGAACCAGCGAGCACTCTTCATTTCATATAATTTGATTTTAATTTCTGTCAAAATCTTTTTCCTCTTCATTTGAAAACATTCGGCAATGAAGAAGAGGGTTCGCAACAAAAAAAAAAAAATGGATTTCCTTCGTAAAAGAGAGTATTTTTTTTTAAAAAACCATCAAATTTGAGAAATCTTTTACACGTTAAGAGAAAAATTACACAAAACACTTAAGAGGAACTTCAGTGTTAATCACAGCATGAATTTTATATCGACACTCCGTGGAGGAGGCTAAGCTTTGAGGTCAGACATTTTTGACAGAAAAAAACTGGTATCAGCTCATTCTCTCTCTCGCTGACATGATCATTTGGATCTTCCAAAGACTAAAGAGTACAGGACTTCAGTGAAAAAAACCGCGAAGTTGAAAGATTGGTGTATCTGCTTGACAATAATAATTTTTTCGAGTATTTTGGCAGCATATAACTGATCAAGTACTTAATTGAAACGTAACCGCAATTATAATGACATTGAAAATTAGCAAACCAAGAAATTCAGTTGGTAGAGAAAACTATATCGAAATTCTTAATCTCCCATGTGTGGAGCGCAAAACTAGTGTATGAAAACGAAATTTTACAATCGGAAATAATGGACACGATTGCATGCAACTTATTCTAAGTCATACATGAAAACGAGTTTTCTGTCGAAATCTACAACTCGAATTTTTTACAGCACATGAGAAAACACTTTGGAAAATTACAAAATTCCCTTTTTCGTGGACGGTCAATTTTTTACAGGATTATTGCATGAATTACCTAAACTGTAATTTTCAATGCTAAGGTCCCTCTACAAAAAAAAAAAGTGCTGATTTTTAACCACCTGTCAGTTTCAATGCGAGTGTGCTACTTCAACGCATTTCGACAGTGTAAGTCGGCAATCACATACTTAACTCGGTTTACGACGTCGCAGACTTCCTGTCATGCTTTATTTTTTAATCGAAAAACTACTCAACGGCAATTCTTTAAACCTGCCGTGATTTTTCTTCTCTGTGCGAAGAAAATTCTGCAAAAACTTGAAGGGATGATGTCAATTTGTTCTCCTTTAAAAAAATAACATAGAGGCGGAGATTGTCAGACACCGCAAACGAGATATCGACGGTGAAACTGCCAAACCACGTATCTCGTTTGCGATGTTTAAAAATCTACGCTCACATTTTATTTTTTTGAAGGAGAACAAATCATAATCATTCCTTGAAGTTTTCACAGAACTTTCTCCGCACAAAGAGGAAAAATCACAGAAATTTTCAAGACTGGACGTTAAGTAGTTTTTCATTTAAAAAATAAAGTATGACAAGAAGTCTGCGACGTCGCAAACCGAGATACGTGGTTTGGTAGTTTCACCGTCGATATGTGGTGGCCGACTTACAACGTCGATTTTACCTCGGAGCAGTAACAGTTGACGAGGAGGGCAGTGACTGAAAGTAAAATCCAACGGCACGTCGCCCAAAGAAAACTGGAAGGAAGAGCGCGGAATAACTGGCCGTCAAGACGTGGACGGGAACAAAGCAGGACGGGTTAAATGTTTCCGGCGCCGCAGTCACACTCAAACTCGGAGCCGGTATGCCTCGAGTGGAGCCCGGTGGGCACGGGTGCGCAGCGCGTTCCCTTCCTTCCTCCGTTAATCGACATCCACCGATGCAATAATAAAACTGTACCAACTCCACCCTTCCTTCTCCTACACCTAGACGTTTAATCCATCGATTCAAATCCCTCGGCAACAGATCCGTGCCTACTACTCATACACGAAGAACGCAGCTTGAAATAGCATTTCGCGAACAAACAATACTGTACACTGAAAAAAAAATATCGGTGTATTTACTAAGAAACGGGTAAAATTACCAAGAATACAGAGTTTTATTTGATCCCAGTTTTTCCTTGGTAAAATTACCATTTATGGAATCGGTAATTTTATCGAGAAATCTCGGTAAAATTATTGAGCTTTCTCGGTAATTTTACTGGACTTTGGTAAAAACGCCAATATTTCTTATCGACTGTGGTAGAATTACCGAGATAAAATGGCAAAGTTACCGGGAATTGATTACCAATAAAAGTGGTATTCTTACCTGAAAAAACAGTAAAAATACCGGTTTTTAGGTAAGCTTACCAGTCTGTCTCGGTAAAATTACCAATGATTGGTAAAAAAGTAAGATGGTAAAGGTACCAACGAAACTTGGTAAAAACACCGAACATTTTTTTTCAGTGTAGAGTACGACCTCTGGCCGCTATGTAGCCCAACCCCCAGAAGGCGCTTCGCGGGTCCCCGCGGGTTAATCAACGCGTAGAACGGGAATCTCCTATCGATAACCGCAAAAATCGGAAAAATCGGCTCGGTAAATCTTTAGAACGAACTGTGACAAAAAATAAACATTTACATTGTTCAAATAAGGGGAGGGGGTGTCAGAACTTTATCACGTAATATAAAAATAACATTGGTCACATTTTTTCAAAACTAAAAAAGCGGACTCATCTAGAGACTGTCGCCTGTTGATAACCGCAAAAATCATGGAAATCGGCCCAGTAGCGCGGTAAAACGGAATGTGACAAAAAATGAAAATTTAGAGGGTCAAAGAACTTATGATGACGTCCAAACTTAACGCCAAATTCGGATAGATAGAGATGCTACGTATGGTTCATAATAATTACAATCTAGGTCAAACGATTGCATATTTTCCTGACGCACTGATTCAAGTTTCGGGCATTATGAGTTGGCCACTCTACCTACAGAAATGACAGAGTGCCTTCAATTTTTCACTTATACTTCAAAGGTATCTCTTAGGCATGAATGGTTGTTCCATTAATCATGCTTGGACATCGCGACATCAAAGCTAAAGCACAAAAAAGATAGTCACATTCTACCCCTAAATGAAACTACTCGTGCTTAGGAGATTTCCTCAATGTAGGTATAAAGGAAAAATTGAAAGCTCTCTTCCATATTTTGGATCCTCGCAGTATTTTCAGGGAAGCTCGTTGTTGAATCCGCCGCGCCGCGGGTGAAGCGGTGAGTGACTGGACCGTCAAAACGCCTTCACTTTCATGCATATGCAACGCGGACATCCATAGAGCCCGAATAGTTGCATCCAGAAGTTACAATGAAATTGTTTCATTCCACACTATCAAAACGCCTTTGCTTTTGTGCATATGCAACGCGGACATCCATAGAGCCCGAATAGTTGCATCTGGAGTTAAAATGAAATTGTCTCATTCCGCACTATCAAAACGCCTTTGCTTTTGTGCATATGCAACACGGACATCCATAGAGCCCGAATAGTTGCATTTGGGAGTTAAAATGGAATTTGTGCAATGCTCCTCACATTGGAGTTTGACACTAGCCAAGGGTGCATTACTTGTTTATCTTGTTCCGAATCTTAATCCCAGCGTTGAATAATTTGCCGATGAAGTAAACCATCGATGATTCTCACCGCGACATTGTAATTTTTCTGAATAAGGCTATACATTTTTTTAATATGTGACAAAGTTGCCGTCCTAAAATGTGGAATGCGGCCCCTACCGGGTAGGGTAGGGCTTACCCTCTCTGATCTAAGAATGCTAACGAATGCGAAACATTCGTTTCGTGGTCACTTTGAGCGCTTATCTCAAATATTTGTAATTTTTGTTTCGCCGAGGAGTTAGAAGAAAGTCCAGTCAGAAATGCGACGAAAGAGACTCAAACTTGGTAGCAGATAATTCATACGTTACTGATTGCTTCAGGATCATTGAATCGGAGCACCAGTGAGCTGAGTTAATGAAAAACGAATCAGTGATGAAGTACCCAGTAGCATTTTTCAACGGAAAAATCGCGATTTGTTGCGATTTTGTCGGAGATAAAATAGCTAAGATCATCAACATCTGAGCGATTATCCTCGATCTTGTTGCAATAAAATTGCGATTTTATCGCCCGGCAATTTATCGCGATATTATCGCAACAAAAATCGCGACACTTGGCGATTTAATCTCGATTTTATCGACGAAACTTGATCGCGATTTTATTGAACAGGAAATTGCGATGCATAGCGATTTAATTGCCATAAATCGCAATTTTTTATTCAATAATATTGCGATAAATTGCCACCGATATGATCGCGATAATCAACCAATAAAATCGCTATTTATCGCGATCACTGCTACTTGGGAAGGGAAGTCCGCCTAAAGTTCCTGCGTAAAGTCCAAGGTAAGGAGTTGACAGAAACCAAATGAATGTTTCTTTTCGAGTTTTTATATACTTAGATGTTTGTCTTCAATACTCTTCAAAAACACATTACTCACTAAGATTTTGTACAGCCGGGCCTGAGGAATTCCTTTTTTTTGAAAATAGGATCGGTTGAAAATGTGAACCTCTTAAAGTAGTCGCAAGAGGAGTCATGAGGCCTCGAGCAACTTCGTCAGGAGCGGAAGCGGGAGCTGGGTGTGAATGATCGCGGACAGCAACAAACGAAAAATTAGACTGCATCGCCTTATATCCTGGTTACACGCTCAAATTCCCGTCAAATTCCGATCAAAATGATGACCAAGATGGCGGTCGAGAGTTATCTAGATTGATGAGTAAAATTAATTAAAACAGCGTGTTGATTGAAATAAGCATGCGTTTACAGCGCGTTTACAACACTGCTGCACAGTATAAGCAAAAAATATAAGGCTAAAAATTAAAGGGCTTTGGAAATTATTAAATTTGACTCGAAACCATCTTAATATTTACAACACACACGTTATATGTTCCTGAAATACATTTTTTTTCATCAATTCAAATGAGAATAATCCATGCAGCGTGTGTAAACTTTTCAAAATCATGAGTTAAAAACTGCTGACCCTGCGAGTTTAAATATTAGAGCCTAATCACACAAAGCGGAGCGTCGCAGCGGGCGACCAGCGCGGAACGCGCTCAGGCGCCTACAAACCTAAAGGGATACTTCACACATTGCGCAAAGCTTGAAGTATCCCGTTAGGTTTGTAGGCGCCAATGCGCGTGTCGCGCTGCGTGCTGGTCGCCCGCCGCCGCCGCTCCACGGCGTGTCACGGCGCCTCGAGCAACTATTTTGCAACAGAGGTGTTGCACAGTATCATACGAAGTTGAAGGTGCTCCAACATATTAAGAATGGCAGACATCCTTTAAGAGCACGGAGCTTTCCTTGCAAAATAAATCAAGATAATAAGCACGGTTGTGTGGAAATCAGATGAAGGATGAGCCCCACAGCTCCATCATCTACCATCAAATTTTTGCAGGCCGCAGAAATTTGATGGTATGGTGCGCACCAGTCACCATTTGATCGGAATTGATGGAAATTTGAACGTGTAACCAGCACATTAACGTAAACGAAACCTATCTTTTTTTTGAACAATCGAGGGATTTCCAAAACTCGAATTTGATCAAATTTGACAAATCCTCAGAAGCATACTACACACTCGAGAAAAAATTTCGTGAGAATCCGCCTGATCGATCTCCAGATCTCACTGGTTCAAGAAATCACCTTTTTCTTCTTCTTCTTCCTCTTCTCCTTCTTCTTCTTTCAAATGCAGATAAATGAACATAAGACGTCGAGTGATGCACATTTTTTTTCCCTTTATAAGCATCCAGCCCACGTACAAACTGGGGCTCTCAAACTGGCACTAATTCTTCTATTTCTCAGCCATTTCGGCACGGAATGCCTTGAAAATTTCAAGATCTGATCTGCGATGTATCCCGAACACATCGGTTACCCTCAAAGATCGTCGGCCCGACGATCTTTGGAAGGCAACAGTCAACAGTTCCATCGATGAGCCTCTTTGAGGCCCCTAGTTTGTAGGTGGGCTGGACGCTTTAAGGTCGTGCGTTTCTATTCTGATTCGTGAGGATTTTTACTGAAATAAACAGGAGCAGACTTTTCCGAGAACTTAGAGGTATATTTGAGGTAACAAGTAAGTTGATAAAAGCTTTGGTTGTACTAGCCGGTGACTAGACTTTTCATACGCGTGAAAATGAATTTCAAAGGGAACGTGAACTTGATCCATCGATCCTCGGTCTTTTCTCCCCGGCTTATCAAGTTCAGTTACCTCATTCAAAGGTCGAGAGCAATGACTTCCGTCGGCGGAGTCTGAGGACGTTGTAGGTAGAGTCCCTTTATACTGAGAGTCAAGACAACACCCTTCATGGAGTCACAAACGGGAATAAAGATTACAGAAATTGAACGTTTTTCGTAATCTTTGATCGGCCCATTCTCGAATTCCTTTCTTCGTTCCTTCCCTCATTCCGTTTGTTCCTTGCCGAACCCGTGATTCCCCGGTCCATTCCAGATTATAATCTTTGCAATCGGCGAAACTGTAATCTTTATTCCCGTTTGTGACACTGTGAAGGCCTAAAATACGGGAACCAATCAGAAATGGATTCAAATTGTCTTGACTCTCAGTATAAAGGGACTCTAGTTGTAGGTAAGTGCTCACACATTATTTCACGGGACAACAGAACGAATTCTGCATATTTTTGAGCAGCCATACGCACACTTTTGATATTCAAATAATCGAATGACATGCATGCAATCGGGGAGGACCTAAATCTTCCCAGACGCATCGTGCTTCGCCAGGACGTCTAATTATGAAGGAACCGGAACACGTGCACTGAGA